CCTCGCTCGCCAACACCCAGCAAGCAGTGACGTCAGACGCCCAAATGCTGGACCGACTCCGCCATACCGGGCGGTTTGCGGCGTCTTCATTTTCTCGCCTTCCCATCGCACCCTTTGGTAATGAGACTTCCGCGACGGCAAATGCCGTCTCGTCTTTGGAAATGCTTTCGCATCTTTGCATGGAGAGTAACTGGGAATGGATCGATGGAATGCTGCTTGGAGGGTGTCTTGCCTACGGCCTTGGCGATTACCATAAGGCTACGAGGTGGTACACCAGAATAATAAACAGGGATTCAACGTAAGTGAACACCCCAAAGGTTGTGAATTACGCGCATACGACTAACCCCTCTAGGCATGTCGAGGCCATATCAAATCTAGCGGCCACGCTTTTGGCACTGGATCGTCGGGAGGAAGCACTCCAGCATTGGCTCCGTGCCGTGAAACTTCGTCCAAGCTTTTTTGAGGCTGTCGAGCACCTTATTGGTCTCTTATGTGGCAGCCATCGTGGCAAAGAAGCTGTCAACATCATCGAATTCGTGCAGAACTCCCTGCGGTGCTCCAAGAATGGAGACTGGTTCACCACCGATGAACATGCCAGCGAGACTGAGAGCGACGCAGATAGCAGAGCATCGAGCACCTCGGATCTTGGCTCCTACGAAAAGGCATCATTCGATTACGATGATGACTTGGGTCACTCGGCATCTGCCACCTCTCGTTCAACAGAGCCCAAATCCCCCGGGTTTGGTTCTAGCGGCTACGCCATACCTGGTTGCGACAACGGTCGAATGCTGGCGCTTATCCATGCAAAGGGCAACATGCTCTATGCACTAGGTGACAATGCGGCGGCCGCGGCCGCTTTCGAAGACGCCATTTTGGTTGCAGCCGGGCGAAGACGCCCCGGCATCCAAAGCCTGATTAAACAGATATTTGCCGCTTTCTCCCAAGATTCGCCTCAAGGTTATCCAGCACCGGAGCAGCATTCCTCTTCGGAAACCATTCTTCTCTATCCTGATAAGGCTTTGCAGACTTCGAAGCTAGTATTTGTGCCTTGCGGGACTCCTCCGGGCATAAAGTATGTTGCAGAGGGCTTGGCGCGGAAGGCAGCCGTGTCCACTACGAGCAACTCACTGCTCTCGCTGGCCAAGATTTATCAGGATGGCATGTCGAACATTTCATCCTCGGGTGCTCCTAGGACGGCACCGGGCGTTCGGGACATCCTTGCCCTCTACTACCTCTCTCTTTCTCTTCAGCCCAGCCCGTCAACCGCAAACAATGTCGGTATTTTGCTTGCTGGTATCCAGAACAATGCCGCAAAGAAAGGATTCGCTCGATCCAGCGGGGAGATGCAGCATCCCGAAATACCTGGGGTGATCCCTGGCAGCGGTATTTCACTGGCATTGGCATATTACAACTATGGGTTGCACCTGGACTCGCGTCATGCTCACCTCTATACGAATCTTGGTAGTCTGCTCAAGGACATCGGCCAGCTCCAGGCCGCCATTCGAATGTATGAACAGGCCGTGCAATGTGATGGTAACTTTGACATTGCCCTGGCGAACTTGGCAAATGCTGTCAAAGACGCCGGTAAGGTCAATGATGCGATCTCGTACTACAAGCGGGCTGTCAAGGTAAATCCCGAATTTGCTGAAGCCGTCTGTGGACTGGCAAATGCCTTGAATTCGGTCTGCAACTGGGTCGGTCGAGGAGGCGTTGTTAACGGTTATGGATTCCGGGACCGGTGGCACGTCGATGAGCAAGGAATGCTCCGAGATGCATACAGCAACGAAACAGGTTGGATCAAGCGTGTAGTTGACATTGTTGACCGACAACTTGGAGAAGGTGAAACCTGGGGCCGCGGCTTACTTACACCCAGTACGATCGCGCAGCTGTGTGCGCAGCTGACTCCCGCGCTGGAGAGTCGGCGGTTTGCGTCCGAGGCCATGACCTCTATCCTCCAGTTCTGGGCCGGGAAGAAATGGGAAGGTTCGAGAATTGTCAAGCTGGTGGAGCGCGCTACCAGGTCAATCACTTGGCAGTGGTATCAGGATCTTTACGTCAGCCGCAAAGAATATCCTCTGTCCAAGTATCGACGTCCTCAGCTGCCCCCAGGACTAACGGCTCCCAATGCTCCCACCGTCTTGCCTTTCCACACATTCACCTGTCCACTCTCGGCGAAACAGATTCGGCAGATCTCGCAGCGGAACGGACTCCGTATATCTTCTTCAACTCTGAGGTCTCCCTGGCTCCCAGGCACCGTCTATCCGCCACCGCCGCCGCCAAATCCGTGTCTCAAAGTCGGATATGTGTCCTCAGATTTTAACAATCACCCTCTTGCTCATCTGATGCAATCTGTGTTCGGGCTGCATAACCCTTCAAGAGTCCAAGCATACTGTTACGCCACCACCGCAAGTGACAAATCGATTCACCGCCAACAGATTGAGAAGGAAGCGCCAGTGTTCCACGATGCAAGCGGATGGCCGGTCGACCGATTGGTGAAGCAAATCGTCGCAGACGGAATCCACATTCTCATCAATCTAAACGGTTACACTCGAGGCGCCCGAAACGAAGTCTTCGCAGCACGCCCTGCGCCAATCCATATGTCGTTCATGGGATTTGCCGGTACCCTTGGTGCTGAATGGTGTGATTATATCCTTGCAGACAATATCTCCATACCGCCTGAGACGCTTTCTCCCGGTCGACGCCACGCACGCATCGACGACCGACTATTAGAGGAAGACCACGGAGAGGATCTTGAGGATTGGGTTTACGGCGAGAAGATTGTCTTCACCCGTTCGACATTCTTCTGCTGCGACCATCGACAAAGTGCTCCCGACAGTCAAGATGGACCTCTTTCCTGGGAGCAGGAACAAGAAAAGAGATGGCGCATGCGCAAGGAGCTGTTCCCAAACCTCAGCGACGACGCAATCATTCTCGGTAACTTCAATCAACTATACAAGGTAAGGCCCTTTACCCTCTGGCATGCCAGAAAATTACATTGTTGCAAATAGCTTGTTCTGACACTTATTCCAGATTGAACCCACGACTTTCCGTACCTGGCTGCGTATATTGGCAAGAATTCCGAACGCCGTTCTTTGGCTTCTGAGATTCCCGGACCTTGGTGAACAGAATCTTAAAGAAACGGCAGTTGCTTGGGCCGGTGAAGAGACCGCGTCGCGGATCATCTTTACGGATGTTGCGCCGAAAAACACCCACATCTCTCGGGCCAAAATCCTGGATCTCTTCCTCGATACCCCTGAGTGCAATGCGCATACAACAGCGACGGATGTCTTGTGGAGTGGGACCCCAATCTTGACGCTCCCTCGTTACAAATACAAAATGTGTTCTCGCATGGCAAGCAGCATCTTGAACAGTGCCTTGCCCAACTCGGATGATGGCCGAAAAGCCCGGGAGGAGCTAATCGCCACGTCCGATGATGATTATGAAAGCAAGGCAGTCCGCTTGTGTCTGGACTTGCAATACGAGTCACGTGGACACGGCCGTGCCCGAGGCAGGCTGTCGGACGTCCGCAAAATGCTATACCATGGGAGATGGACCAACAAACTCTTTGATACCACTCGTTGGGTCCATGATTTAGAAGATGCTTACGAACAAGTTTGGAAAGGGTGGGTGAATGGCGAAGAAGGTGATATATGGTTATGATGTTGCGTCTTGGAATATACCCCTTGAGCGTGTTTTCTTTTCTATTTTCCTGTGGCCCTTTGACTTTGTCTTTCTTCATATTACACCTATTTATTACTTTTTTTATTATTATTTTCTTCGGTTTCCCTTCTCATGTTTGGACTTTGTCCTAATGGTGTCACATTTTCTTCGGTCTATTGTCTTCTTTTTTCACATGTAAGGCTACGGTCTGTGCAACTCGCATGTTTCGATCTATACTTTGTACTCTTTTCATGATCTGTTCATTTCGATAGCTTTTACTTCCGGTGGATGGGAAGGTATATTCATACCTGTCTATTTAGGTTTTTGCATGTTGGCGTTGGGTGTGTGACTAAGTGAGTGTGTCTTTAGGTAACGGGATCCAATGACTATGACTTTTTCCGGCTGGTTTGATACATGCAAACAAGCCTGGTTGGATATCTTCTCTTTCTTTTCCTCTCTTTTTCCATTTTACTTCTCTTCTTGGGCTATCATGCACTATTGCCTATGATCTGTTTTAGGGGTTAGGTGGGAAGAGGTTCTGGTATTCAGAGGATGGATTCTCGTTCTCTCGAAGCAGATGATCACATGCCCTGGAGTAGTGGTACCGGCTTATATGTTGAATTGTTCTGGAAACTCTATTGGGGGTTATGTGATATGTGATAGAATATGGGTTTGGTTTTGGGTTTGGGTTCTGAGGGCTGAGCAGAGGGGGCTTGGGTAGAAGTTGATGATGAGTGAATGAAATTGAGGCAGTAAGTAGTATTTCCATGTAAGCTCCAGTCTAGGAGACGACTTGCACTTATCGTGAGTTTTTACACGTCCGAGAACATTCCTCTCATATCTCGTCAATATTCACTTGCTCGTCGTTACTTCATGCAGCTGACTGGGAATTTAGATAGTTGATTTCCCTGATTTGCCTCCAATACGCGGAGAGGGAGGATCCTTTCTCTCTTGGATTTGATACGCGTATGGGGAAGGGGATATCCGCCGAAGATGTTAGGATCACGTTCCCCATGTTCCGTAGCACGTCCTGCCTTTATAGGTGGCGTGCATAGCTCCAAGGTTTCTTTGGCGTCGTTTGGCAGTATACTCCGGGACGAACGCCAATTATATCGTCAATGATATCCATACCAAGGATCATACTAATACTTACAACAGTAAAGTGATGCGTGAGGGGTAATCTAATGGCTATATATTAAGAAGGTAGAGGTATGTTTCACAATTATCCTCTCTTGTGTATTTCGTCTTATGCTTGTTTTTATCCCCTCATTGTTTGGAAGACTTTTCTACCACTGGTGAGGACCTTTTCAGTGCTTCTTCCCTCTTCTATACATTCGAAGATGTCGTTTTGGATGCTATTCGCTGTTGAATTGTCGATTTCCCAGGCCCTGTTGAGCTCTGTCGGTGGTACTCCGTTCTGTAGTTCAAGTTCCTTTGCATTCCCGGAGTTGGAAGGCGCTGAGTTGGTCCGCATCAATGCGAACGCTGTCCACAACTATACAGCGCGTTCGGTTCGTTCGGGCTCTCTCGTCACAACATCTCATATCAGTTTCTGCAATACCACGGTGACGTATACACATCCCGGCTGGAACGATACCGTCAACGTGGAGGTTTGGCTGCCACTTGAACAAAAGGACTGGAATGGTAAGCTCGAGGCAGTGGGAGGCGGGGGTTACAGTGCCGGATTTGGCGCGCTGTTTCTGACCCAGGCGGTGGTTGATGGGTACGTGGCCATCGATACAGATGCAGGTCATGAGTTCGGGCCTTCGGTTGCTCAACATCCAGGGGGCTGGGTGCTTGTTAGCCCTGGAAACGTCAACTGGTATCTTATGGACAACTTTGGCTCGAGGTCTCTGTATGACATGACGATCATTGGAAAGGCCATCACCGAGACGTATTTCGGCCGGAAACCGACATATTCATATTTCGCTGGGTGCTCCCAGGGTGGGCGTCAGGGTCTGATGATTGCGCAGAGATATCCTGATCTGTATGATGGGATCTTGTCTCAGGCGCCGGCTATTAATTTTGAGAACTTCATTCCGGCTGGATACTGGGCGCAGCAGGTCATGAATGACCTTGGCGTGTATCCGTCACCTTGCGAAATCAATGCCTTCACGAAAGCGGCGATCGAGGCCTGTGATATGTTGGATGGAGTAAGAGATGGGGTCATCTCGGCACCGGACCTGTGTCACTTCAACCCGCACAGTGTTGTGGGTCAGAATGTGTCCTGCAATGATACTACAACACGGATGCTCACAAAGGCAGGCGCTCATATTGTAGAAGCAGCATGGGACGGCCCACACAGCCCGACAGACAATATTGGCTGGTTCGGTCTGAATAAAGACGCCTCGCTCACCGGCGCATATGTCACCACCAATTGCTCAAGCGGCACATGTTCAGGAGCACCAACCCCGCTTCTAAGCAACTGGTTCCCGTATTTCGTTGCCAAAGATCCCGACTTTGCGATAGCGAACATGACCGTTGCGGATTTCTTCGCCGCGCTCCGGCTTTCAGACTTGGAATACAAGTCCATGCTTGGGACCGCCTGTCCGGACCTTTCTGGGTTCCGGGACGCTGGCGGGAAGATGATTTCCTGGCATGGTCTCGCTGACGAAATCATTCCTCCTAATGGAACTATTGCATACTATCAGGAAGTGCTTGAGCTCGATCCTTCGGCGCATGAGTTCTATCGGTTCTTCGAGGCCCCGGGAGTCGGACACTGCGCGGGGGGCTCGGGGCCGTTTCCCAATGAGATATTCAAGGAACTTATTGCCTGGGTTGAGGACGGTGTCGTTCCGGAGAGATTGAATGCTAGCAGTGCCGACGGAACGGTGAGGCCTCTCTGTCCATATCCTTCCCGACAGACTTATGTGGGTGGGGATCCCTCAGAAGCTGGCTCTTTCGCGTGCGTTTCTAGGGGGGCCGAGGATAAGGATAAAGGTCTGCTTGCAGATATTTTTCAATTTTACCGGCCTTCGTGATGTTCTGTGCATTGTTAGCCATCTTGTACATACAATTGGGGAACTTTAGGTTATGTGCCTTAATATTAGTGAATCAGTCTGCTGCAGTGGAATGCGCTTTGAATTTTGGCGTTGGAACATAATTCTTTTGGCTCTTTCGCTCGGCCCAAAGCGTAGCTCAATGTTCCATCGCTCTGCTTTCTGAAGTCGAGGGAGTATCGTTAAGTACCTGGTTAGGCCAAACCAGCCACTCCGCCCAAGACGGACCCAGATATGCAGTAATACTCTGAATGATAAATCTTCCCGAATCACCGAAGACCCACGAGCTACGTTGATGATGCAGAAAAGCAGCATAATGCGCTAAGATAACAACAGCCTCTGGCTGTCCTCGTGCCAATGTATCGATGTACTCGGGCGGAATGAGAGTCGGCCACGTGATGAGGTAGTTTCTTGAATGTTCACTCGGCCCTGCTGTTGCTAGTGTTGATGTTGTAGCAATACGAACCGACTGCAACGCCTCGATTGCTCGCTGGTACGTGTTAGTTAGTTCATTTCCCAATTTCGCCGCACGGATCCGCCCCAAGAGGCTCGTGAACTCGGGGTCCAGGCTTGTGCCTAGCTGGGGCAGCTGCTCTCCAGCCGCTAGTAGCGGCTCCAGATCCGATCCTCGCAATGTAGTCCATGAGCTCTGAGCTACCGTGCGCACGCCTTTATGGAGACGGAGGCAGTCGATGAATTTATCGAGGAATGAGGTTAGAGTTGGGCCTCGGTAGTTTAGGCTGTCGCAGAGGGTGTGGATTCCTATCATTGATGAGAATAGGAGTGAGGTGACGCATGTTTCGCGGTTGATTTCTGGTCGCGTGGCGTTGTAGATGGAGAGGGCGTGGGTTTGGAGTTGGGATGCTAGATGGAGGTAGTGTTTCTGGTTCTGGTTCTGCTGGGTAGGGTGGGAAAGGCTCAGATGTAGGGCGGATAGAGCTAGGAATTGGTTCATGAGGTAGGGTGCTGATATGCCGTATTTCAGGATGTCGACGGGAGTGAGTTGGAATCCGTCGGTACCCATTAACTTCAAAGTCGAGGTGAGAAAATGATGGAGGAGTTCGATATGGAGCATGTTCACTGGAGAACTTTCTATGTTGAATTCATTGGACGCCTCTGGCTGTGTTTGGATGGATGGCACCGTTGATGGGGATGCTGATGTTCGGCTCCTTGAGCGAGAGGCTCGGGAGAGTCGAGACGATATGATCTCCAGACCTGCGTACTCGCAGCTTCGCTCGGACGTGATACAGTTTGAACAAGTTGGGCGTTTTTCATCGCACTATATGATCAATTAGGGTTGTTCCGATACGATTATGTGATAGATTCTATGTGTGTGTGTATGTGGTACCTTCACGTGGCGTCGCTTGCATTCGATGCAGCCGTTTCGCGACTTTTTGTGGGTTCGGCGTGCCATGGCGGTTGCTGGATTTGAGCCTGAACCTTGATCGTCACGGGCTGATCGTATTCGGATGATCGGTCAAGAGGGCTAAAAGTAAGTGGCAAGGGCCTCGGGCATACTAGAAGATGGACATGAGCATGATGGAAGGATGGAAAGACGTCAGGAGTACATTGGTCGATTAGTCATTCGGTACCGGTTTCCCACGTGCCATTGCCACTCTTGTCGAGGTTTTTCTTTTCGTACCAAAGTATTTAATCTTCGAGTTGAGAGAAAGGATGAAATTTTCCTGAGACAAGACCAGGCATTGAGGGGATGCAACTCGGAATACACCCGTCACCCTGCCTTGTGCCGGACTTAGATTGCCTGGACCCACCTCTGCTATACGCGTATGCACAGACCAATTGGCAGGTTTGTAGACTACTATCTAAGAATAAACACCCCTCCAAGAGCCATCAAAATTTGCTATGGCTGTTGCCTTCCAGGAATCCATGCTAGCTTATCATGGCAGACATTATAAGAAGACTCAGGCCTGTCCTGTACAAGGTATTCCTCAGGGCAGACCTTCTAACCTGACGCCGCACCAATTGACCGTTGTTAATCATTATTCATCCCCTTCTATATACTCCTCTTACTCCAACATTTATCGACGAGATTCGAGGGTGATACACTCTGTGCCACAATGCCCGAGTTACAGACATACAAAGGCTTCTACCTCTGGCAATATGTGCCCTCGAGGGCGGCCGCGGTTATCTTCATCATACTCTTCCTCACAGCAACGGCATTCCATGTCTGGAAGATATGGAAACTGAAAACCCGGTTCTGCATCTGCTTTGCCCTTGGGGGCTTCTGTGGGTCCCCATAGTCCTCCAGCTGGATGATGGCATAGCTGACTGATGACACTAGTCGAATTTATAGGTTACTGCGCCAGAGCCTCTGCTTATGACAAGACAGGAAGGATGATGCCGTACTGCATTCAGAACGTTTTCATCTTGCTCGGCCCTGCCCTCTTCGCCGCTTCGGTCTACATGGTGCTGGGTCGAATCATCACTGCCGTCAGGGCGGAGCACCATTCGCTGATCCGTGTCACCTGGCTCACTAAGATCTTTGTCCTCGGCGACGTCCTGTCCTTCTTGGTTCAGGGAAGTGCCGCGGGTCTGATGGTGAACAGTGATCTGGCAAATATGGGCAAGAACATCGTCATCGCCGGCCTCCTCATCCAAGTAATCATGTTCGGTCTGTTCATCGTCACCGCAATCTGTTTCCAAATGCGCATGCGTAACACCACCACGGCTGAGGCCTTCAACGCCGACCTACCCTGGAAGTCGCACCTCTATACGCTCTATATGGTCAGTCTGCTCATCATGGTCCGGTCGATCTTCCGTGTGGTGGAGTTTGCTATGGGTTATGAGGGATATCTGTTGAGTCATGAATGGACTCTTTATGTTTTCGATGCGCTGCTGATGTGGATTGTTATGGTTTTATTTGGGTATCGATATCCTGGTGAGCTTCGGGTTTGTTTGAATCATCTGGAGGTTGTTGGATTGTGTGATGTACAGGCAAAGGCTTGAGTCTTTGTTTGGATTATCAGGTTGCTGGATTGATGTTTGTGTACGGAGTACAACTAGGAAGATGGTCTCGATTTTTCTTGGGTTCCTATTTGAGAATATAGGTAGCCATGAGTAATTCAATTTGATCACGAATGGAGTCGAACACCGGGTTTTGATCATAGAAAATAGACAAATGAGGGTAGAAGAGGAGAGCCAGAATCGCGGGGAGGCAGAAAAAGTGTTGACCGCTCATCAGTCATGTGACTATATAGCGACTCTCTGTTATCGCGATCCAACTCAACCCAACACAACCCTTTCCATAACAACACATCACAACCCTTATACCGATTCTAAGCACCGTGCTTAGGATATTTCGACAAGAGCTCCTCCGAATACTCATATCTGGTTTTCACTCCGGGCACCGGGCCCGGGATCAGGGACGCCCGTCCACGGCCAAGCTTCACCCAATCTGACCGCTACGGGACACGTGTCGCTAAAATGGCAACATATAACTCCCAACCAGGCGGGCCTCTACAAGCTGCTCTACTGAAGACAACTACTGCAGCCTCTACTAGGGCTACCGAAGGCCAGAAGATATTCAACCCGATAGCAGCCTTTCTTGACAAAC